ATTTTGAAATGTATATTTTTGGGGAGCACCTTCTGCCAATCGAAATGGAATAGACTGTTCAGGCTCTTGATGTACACACTCTTTTTTAGTATTTTACGACCTAATCTGAAAAAAGAATTCATGGATAAGTTTCTGACGCCTCAAAATCCACTCTCTTTTTGAGTTTGTCTTAGAGAAAATCAATGGTCATTTATAGATTTCAGAGAGCATCCATGAAAACTCTAGCCGAAACAGCTGAACGTCAATTTCTACCCTTTTTTTACTTAACTCGCCATTAAATCAAGTTCATTGAGTGTGGGTGTGCGTGTACGTGTACGTGTGGGATCGATTGTTGAGAAGAACCACACCCTTACACTCACTCCCACAACTACCACCACTGCTACATCACATATCCACATTCACAACGATCTAAATTTTTTACTTATTTTTATTTCATTTTTTGGATTGTAAACGTTATTGTTTTGATCCAGAACAAAATCATTCGGACTGAAAACTATTAATAAATAAAGCATTTTTAATCTTATCATCAGTACCTGTCGTCGGTCTGTGGATAGACTAGAAGTATCAAATGGTGAAACATATGAAAGTCATACTAGCTTGAAAAACATAAAAGTAAACGAGATCAACTCAATTTCTCGTAGAACTTACAAGCAGACACTTACCTTCACTAATACACTCACATTCACATCCTAAAAGAAAATATTGATTTGCCTTTAGAAAAATCTTGGCTGAATTGTCTGTATCACTCGAATGACAAAGAATCGATTATGACTCCGGAAGATTTACAAACTGTGATGAAAAATCCCCCTGTAAATGTCGACGATGCTATATTAGATCGTGTTCAAGGATCCATGGTTGGTATGGCCTTGGGTGATGCACTCGGTGGGCATGTCGAATTTCGGCCTCGACAATATCTTCTTCAGCATCCAGTGCGAGACCTTGTGGGTGGAGGAACATGGGGTCTGAAAAAAGGACAGGTAAAGTTCCTTCTCTTTATACTAAAAAAATGCTTTGACTGTCGTCTCTTCTGGAGTGTAATGTGAAATATGATGGATTAGCTCTACTGATAAACCAGAGCCCTATTCATGATGTCTTTTATTTTTGAAGACTAGATAAACAAGTATATCGAAATGTTTATCATGGTCTGTGATTCTCGGAAGAATTCTCCATTCCATTTGTCTATTATGTGTTTGCGGAGCAAAACATATGACGGAGTTTCACTTTTCTTCCTATATACTTGAACACTTATATCTAATCGAGTTTCACAACATGCACAAGCCTCCTTGGACTAGCTTCACATTCTGCTCGAACCAAGTTTCAAAAGATTTTCTGGAATCTGTTCAACTAGAGATTTTCGTATAAGTATCGTTAATATTGAGATGGGACGTTGATCTTTAACGTTTCCTACAATTCGGTATTTATAATTCGTTCTGTCGATTAGTGCCAATGCTAGGAGTGATGTCAAGCAGAGATGAGTACCGAACAACTTTTTTTGTTCTGTCCTATTGTACAGTCAACATTCGTTCTGCCGAACGGCATGACAGGACATAAAGTAGGGCAAAAGCGGTACCTCTAACTTTCGATTGAATCAAATAGACAGTAAATTTCTCAGTCATCTTATAACAAATATATTTCATGGTTTTTTTCAAATATAACGACTCGTTTCGTAAATAATCGTTAATTAAATAAACACAAAAAAAAAGTACGATAGGGTATTATTTTAATAAAAAATATATCGTAGTCCAGAGAAAATACACATAAAACAAAACGCAAAAATATGGATGTGAGTTCGGGTATGCGTGTCCAAACCCACACCCACACCCAATATCCTTACCGTTCACAAAATGTGCTTACAATAAGCACAAGGCATGGGTGACGAAATCGTTTCTGATAAATACGTATTTAGTTCACGGATGACACCTCCATGGCTCTTTGTTTGGCCAGTTCATTGGTGATTCATCGTGATTTTATTCCCTACGATCAATTAGTTCGCTACAAGTGGTGGCACAAATATGGTTATATGTCCTCTACTGGGCAATGTTTTGATATCGGCACTGCCACCCGTCAGTCGTTGCACGAATTCGAACGTCGTCAACGAAAATTTGCCGACACACATCAAATTCGTCTTGAACATTTAGACCATCTCTCAGACCCTCATCTACTAGACCAATTCGATGTGTATTGTAGTGAAGATGGAGTAGCAGGTAATGGAGCCCTAATGCGATTGGCACCCGTGCCTCTGTTCTTCCACAAAGATCCTGTTCAAGCCGTCGAATTTTCCGGTCTTAGTGGTGTCATCACTCATGGTGATCGCAAAGCGTATGATGCTTGTCGGTATTACGGTGCTCTAATCGTAGCCGCTCTTCGAAAAGAAACAAAAGAAAAATTGCTAGATAAAGAATTTTACTCCGCGCATATATCTTGGTTCAACAACGAGCCACTAACTCCGGAGATCCAGAGAATTGCCAATGGATCATACAAGAAATACAAAGGTTATGACGCCGGTATTCGAGGTACAGGATATATTGTTAACGCTCTCGAAGCCGCCCTGTGGGCTCTTTGGTCCGATAAGGACTGTTTCGAAACGGGTGCACTCAATGCTGTCAATCTTGGCGACGATACAGACACAACTGCCGCAATTTATGGTCAATTGGCTGGCGCTCTCTACGGCTTCGAAAATCTACCACAAAAATGGGTGAAACATCTCTATGCCTGTGATTTTATCAAATGTTTGAGCAAGTGGATCACCTACGAAGGACAACTGTGGCAACCAACGCCAACTAGTTCGGATGTTGTCAGTACTTCATCACCGATGGCGGAGTCAGGGCCAAAATCGACATCAAAAAATAAACCACAATCGACTCCTTCATCTCAACAGGGACTTCACCACAAAGTCACTACACAGGGACCAGCCCATTTCTCACAAGAAACAGGCTTGAATAAAGCAGATGCTCAGGCACCCAAAGAGACACGATCGAAAAGGTCTGCATCAGCAACACAGCCTAGTCAGAGTGGCACTAAGCACGAAGCGAAACATACTGTCCAGAAGGCTTCTAGTTCAAAGTCTGATTCACAGAACCAATCACATCGACGCCAAGCAACTTGACAGAGAGTGTCGCCATCTCTAAACCTCCACTTCCACGTAAATGATATATCAATTTGGCTTAATAACATCAAAGACGTTCTGAATTGGCAGTAGTATCTGCATCATAACTATTTTTGAGTTGTCTTTAAAAACATGCTTGTCGATTTTTATAAAAAATAAAATTGTACTGCTTATATTTCAATAGTACCCGATCTCTATAGAATCTCGATTGATTTATGATCGAAAGTTAGCCATTCAATCGAGTAATTGGGTGAGATTTATGACACAGATATTGATATCTTTCAGAACAGTTATTGTCACAACCTATCAAGCAAATTGATGAGAAATCTACCACTTTCCTGGAAGTACAGTGGCCTTCTTTTCTGATCTCTCACAGCAAGTTGGACTTGACATGGTCGAGAACAGTCTAAGATCAAGAAAAGAAAATGTTTCTTGGTCAATCGTATATCAAGATCTAGTTCATTTTTTAAGAAAGTGTTAGCTTACGGATGTGTGAGACAGCTCTAACGAAACAAGCTAAAATGAATCTTAATTTGAACCGTTTACTTTGAAAATCGAACTATAAATTCGAGCTTTTAACCACCACTCAAAGCATAAACACCACAATCAAGCAATCAAGTTGCTGCTAAGTTCGAAACGAAACAATTTTTCTTGTCGGTGTTGATCGCACTGTTTGGACCAGAGACAGTAATGGCAATGGTGTTGTTTCATTGTGATTGATTTTAAATCTGATTTGCTGCATTTTCTTTTTGAGGCTATTCGAAAAAATCCTCACAAAAAGCAGCGATTTAAGTAAAAGCAAAATAAAAAGAGAGCATATTACAATGAAGGAAGAAATAACATCTCTCGAATCAATACTCATTCTCTACAAGAAAAAATGTATGAACGCCAAGAGGAGATCACTTGATGTCGTCTCTCTCTTTTTGTTTATCGCTTTTCAAGTCTTCAAAGAAATGCCTGTATACCTCGGATAAAGCAACGACGTAGTAAGAACCATAAAAGGAGAGCATGCTAGAACGAATGAAAACCTAACATCTTTCTAATCGATATTTGTCTACAGAAAAAGAATCATGAAATTGAAGTGGCAGGCCACTTGGTCTCGTCACTTCGTGTTCTGGTATTCCTTTCTACCTTGTCAACAAGATGCTTATATGACTAAGATAAAGCAATGATGGAGTGAAAAAAAGGGGAAAAAATGTCATAAACAACGAAAAACTAACATCTCTCTAATCAGTATTTATCTGTAGAATAAAAATGACGCAAATGACGTTGGAAGGCATTTGGACTTATCTCTCTGTGTTTTTTCTTGCCCTTTCTCGAATATTCAACGAAATGCGTATATATTTTAGATAACGCAACGGTCGAAGAAAAAACGATAAAGGGAGAACATGTTACAACGAAATAAAACTAACATCTCTCCAATCAACATTCGTCTGCAGAAGAAAAATCACGACATTGGAGTTGAAAGTTATTTTGCCTCGTGTTGCCTTGTTTTTATGATTCTAGCTCAACTCTTCAAGAAAATGCATAAACTACTCGTATTTCATCGAAAAACCACATACAACTAACTTTTCCACGCGCCAGAAAACTCCAATTACACACACTTAGACCGCAGGGAGTTGTGCTCAAAAAGTTCCAGTTTGAATTTACGCTATTTGAGGATGAACATGCGAGTGAGGATGGTCGTCTGGAGGGTGTGGATGTGAAGTGTGGGTGTTGGTGTGTGAGCGTAAGTGAATAGAAGGGTAGACTCGCTTCCTACACTTCACAACCCCACCCACATCCACACCCAGACCATACCCACCCTACATCTGTCCTTCAAAGATCAAACAAATAGCCAATTGTATTTGCGCTCAATCCTATGTAAAAGTGCACCGATATATAATCGATAATTATACCCTCAAGGCGATGGACACACGTTTCGAAGTAATCATAGTCGAAATACTCGTTCTCAAGTGTAATTTTCGCTGTGCTCGTGCTCAAGAAAGTCCGTACTTGCCTAACTCTGTAACATTACGCTAGGGCCTACATTTATTTTTCTTTCTCTTGCTTTTTACAGGGTATATTTTATACAAATATAAGAGATAGCCAAGAGAAAATAACGTAGGAAATAGATTAAATAAACAACTAATTACCAATATTCGTGTCTGGATGAGCAATCCATGAATGTGAAAAAGCTGATCACAAAATAAGCTATCTGATTTCGATCTGAATTTAGAAGAAGAAAACTCTATTACAAAAGGAAATTTATGACTAGGAGATCTTTAGAATCATTCATATATGTACATATGTACATGTTCCCTCATTTTGTAAAACACGATCTAAAAGGAGTGTTGATGTGCATTGGGTAGAAATTTGGACCTGTTCCCTCTCACAGACCGTAACAGACATTTCTAATCAATACCTAATTCATAACTCACTGATTTCTAATCAACAACGAATTACTATCTCATTAGTAACTCATAAACGGATCAATTAATAAATAACTAATAAGTAATCGACGAAAGGGATGTTGAAAGATATAGCAAGAAAAGTGAACTAATCCTCTCGTGTCGTCTCACAAACCATGACAGACATCCTGGAGACCCATCACAGACTATGACAGATGAGATCCCGAATAATGCGCATGGCGCTTCTAGGAGCCCATGGTGATTGTGAAATGTGGGAATGCGGGTGCGAATATGAGTGTGGGTAAAGATGTAGTAAGATTAATAGGATCCATTTTGTCTTCAAACCCTCATTTCTTGTTCCGTGCGCATCATTCGTATACCCGTGACAGATATTGTTGATATACGGTCTTTGATCGTATATCAATAATGCTTCGTTCTAATATATCAATTACTTTCTTGTTGTATATTTTGATGATAAAGTAAAAAGATGGTGAAAACGTGGGTCTCATAATAGGTAGAAAAAAGAAATCTTTCTGAGGTTAGTAAGAACAGCTACATCGTGTTTCGCATTTTAATCCCCAGGAATTGCACTAACAGCTTTTTGGATGACGGAACTAGGCGGTCTGGGGAGTCATTAGAATCATTCATATGAATGTATATGTATTTACTAAAGGGTTTTTCTTCCGAAAACTAAATTTTGAAAGTTGGCGGTGGAAGAAGCTAGAAAACTGAAATTCTCTATCAATATAATAGCTGTCAAACAAATCAGAAAAAAGAATTTATTTTTCACCGAATTTTAACTGAAATACGAATGCTTTTATATTGCATATTATACATTGTAGAAACAAAATAAAAATATTCATTCACTTTTGGAAGAAGAATTCATGTCTTTTCTAGATTTGTAGTAGAGTTCGATATCACATCTATAAATGAAAAACTATTCACACCGGCAGGAGTGAAGAAGGAGAAAGGAGGCGAAACATTTCGAGAGATTCTCTCGTCAGTAGTAGTAAATTCTGTTCTAGTTAAATGAATATTCAGTGTTCGTTTGATAGACCATATTATTAAGTTTTTCGTTAAAACAAAATATTTTATAAAAGACATTAGCCCATTGTTTTTATATTTATTTCATCATTTTTTGAATAGAAAAATGCTTCTTTTTATGTTCTACTAAACAAAATGAGTTATTGCATAATCAACACGAAATTACTTATCTTAGTAAAATATTTATCTTTAGACGAAGTTACAATGTCTTCATCAGCCACAATATGGTTAATAACTGTTGGTTGGTCTGATGCATCACTTGTTGATTTTCTTGTTCGTTCATCGTGTTCATTAACAACAAAATTAGATATTTATCATTGGTTTTTTACTCATATTAATGATAAAATTCTTCAATTTGATTATTCTCCATTAGATAATATTGAAGGTGATTTAGATTTATCACAAATTCTCAACAACGACATTGAACATGAAAATTTAAATATAAATCATTTTGAAGATTTTATGGAATTAAATCTTGATGAAATTGAATTATTTATGTGCGAAAATGGTAGAGCACATGGAATGGTTGTTACTGTCGATAAGGCTAAACAGCAAAATTATCAAATTATCAATCTTGATAATGATCCAACATCAACCGTTTGGAAGGTAACATATAATCCTCGCTTTTTAAATTGTATATGTCATAAAAACTTACCAAATCTTTACGATTTACAACGAACTACGAGATCAAATTATTTATGGCAAATACATACCAAACAAGAACATGAAGTTTATCAATATATATTCAAAAATTTAAATCTGTTTCACATAGATACTTTACCAGATCTAATGAATAAAACACAAGATGATTTAATTAAATTGGTCGAATTGCCTTTAGAACAAACAGATTATCAAATTATAAGTGAAATGATTAGTTTACAATGTTGTCATAGAAACGATCAACATGAACATCATCATTCTGAACAACAAGTATTTGTTATTTTAGTGGAACCGGCATTGAATTTATTAGATATTATCGACATATAAAATACTTTCAAATATAGACTGATCCGAAGCTTAGTTTATCGAACAAAAAGTCGTAAATCTACACTACAATTCCACTAAAGCGAAGAATTTTTTTACTAATTTTAAACGAATGTTCACAGTTCATGCTCAGAAGAAAGTTTAAACAAAACTGATTTCGATGTAGTGCCCTTGATTTCAATAAAGAACTGCAAGTTTTGCGAATTTATCAAAAAATAATTTTACAGTTGTCTTGGTGTAACAGCAGACTGAATGAATACCTTTATCTCCATTCTCAGTAATCATGTCTATTCAGCTACTTCATGTCTCTGTCTCATACATCATGTCAATTTATATTGGAGAGAGAATAAAATAGGAAAGAAAAACAGGAAGAGAATAAGAAGAAAAGAGGATATGGAAATATTAGCTTAAGAGTAATATTAATATTCACACCGTTGACCAATTTTTATTCTTAATCGACAAAATTTTCAAAATAAAATTAGTAAGAAGACATCACTCTATGGGAGAAGTTGCAGATTAGAGTTGTTCTTCGTATGAGCAAGCATACTAATGTGTAGTTTTGAACGTTAATACAGAGTCTGAATTGATTTCATAATATGAATCATTAAACATTTGATTGACTGAAAGACATCTATCTTGCTTGTTTTATACTCATATTGAGTCTTTCAAGCGCTATTATATTGAACTGTACCAACGATGCCGACGATCACAAATGGTCAGAGTGATATATTTATGCAGAATATAGCTAGAACACAGTCATCACCCATTTAGTGATCAACAGTAATTCCATGAAAAATTGAATTCACATATAATTAATGAGATTCACGAGCAAGCAAACTAAATGAAAAAAAAAAGTGTTCTTTATGTCTCAGTCCAATGAATTGATCAAGGCAGATTCTTAACTTGGTTTTCTGTCAGTGATTCTTTTATACAGTAGTTTAGTTTTTAGGAAAAAAACTTTTAGTATAATCCCTATGGGATTAAACCATGAAGTACGATGGAGCCACTCCGATTGTACAGCAAAATCCTCTTTATGAATCATAATCCGCAACAGATTCTAAGAAGCACTATGTTGAAGTGTCTGTCTTGTGCTGTGATTAGGCTCAAACGACAATATTGTAAGAAAGAAAATCAAATTTGTTTCTGTATTTCAAATTAATTAAGCATGTAAGAAACAGATTAAAATAAAAAAATGAATTTATATTCCAAATCTCATAGTCCAAATATCTGTCAAATGTCTGTGAGGCAGACTAAGCAGAGAACTTTTGTTTCTATATACTTAATCTTTTGCTTAAATTGTAAAAAACTTCGAAAATATTTCAAACGTAACTCTATGATCGTTTTTTTTTGTCGTTACAAATTAACACTAGCGATCATCTAAGATTATAATCCTTAGGATATAAGAAAAATGAACTGCTTTTCAAAGATAATAAAACAATTTTCATGCAGAAACAATTCTTCACAAAATAATGAGCACCAATTCCTAATTATCCTAAGAATTGTTCTTGATGACATTAGCATTTTTACATACAATCAATCAAGAAGATCTTGAATATGATTTCCATATCTAAGGAGAAGTAGCATAATCAATGTTTCGATTATAGTCATAATACACTGAATGCATCAGCTCTCATCTGATCACTAAAGTTACACAACGTTGGATTCGGTTAATTCGTGGATGAGTGACCGTCTGGGAATATTGCATGTCATAAACGTTTTCTTTTTACTTTTTTTATTAAATCCAATTCATTAAAAATTAAATTCTTATTGAAAGTTTTTATTATTCATCGCAACGAAAAAAGACACATAAATGAAACAAAAGAAATAGCTTATAATCATTAGAAGACGGTAAAATAACCGATGATATTAGATATATATATATACATAGTTAAGAGAAAGTAAATAGAAATAAGAAGAAAAATGACTATTGAAAAATTGGATATGTATAAATAATGCGTGCACGTCACTGGTTCAAATCCACATGGATAAACTACACAACAACAAAATACTATCATTTAATTTGCTTTTCATTTTTGATATAAACAAGAAATCAAACAAAAAAAAAAATGACAAGAAAGATTCAATGATTGCGGTCATTATTAGAAGCATATTTATATAATATCATTGAACCAGTGACGAAGGTCAATATACCAATAAGCAAAGGACCACGATATTTCGTTGTCAAGAGTGTAAATAATGATGTTTCATTATTTGTTGTGAATATAGAAGGAGTTTGCCGATGTAATTTTGATTTTATTTCATTAACTTTTTTCTCAATAGCTTCATTACGTAATAAACGTTCTTGACGAAGACGAAGAGATGTTTCTACATTATGTCTATATGACAAAGAAAGAAAAAAAAATTATTTTTGTTTTCATCGATCTAAAAGAGAATTCATACGGTGTAATGATCGGTGATAATGGAGAATATTCCTTTAAATCTTCAGATGATAATCGTGATTTCGAAAATGATTGTAAACGACGTTTTGTATTTGGTGAAGGTTCATAACTACTTAAATTTGAATCAACTCTTTTAATTAATTCACAATTGATATCTTCAAATGATTCACTTAAACGACCGTTGGACATTACATTATCTTGTCTTCCACATATTTTTGGATATTTTTTAGAATTTAAACTCTTTTCGTCATCATCACTTTCACTTTCACTGGATAAATTAAAATCACATTCGATAAATGATCCTTCACTTTGTTCGATTGCATTGAGAACTTTCAAACCAGCAATAATAGCACAATAAGAAAACCTGTTATTTATTTATTTTAATCAAATAAATTTTTTATTTTTCTAAGATAATAATTTACCTCAATTGTTCTACTGTTTGAATAAGTCCATGACGTTGTGTTCGAATATGAGCGAGAACATCAATTAATGATACATCATCAGGTTTTTGTGCATGAGCAAGCTAAAAATAAAAATTTCTTTTTTTTTTTAAATTATTTTCTTTTTTAATTTTTACTAGTTTTAAAATAGAATCAACAAGTACAAATGTACCCGATCGACCAATACCTGAAAATATTCAAAATAAACTTTTTGTATGATATAAAAAACAAAAAAAACAGAAGATTTTACCAGCACTACAGTGAAGAATTGGCGGACCGTAACGAGGATCAAATGCACCACAGTGACGAACATCACTAAGTAATTGCAAAAATGGCTCTGGTCTATTTGGAGCACCATGATCAGGCCAATCAAAATCTGACCAATGAATTATTGAACGAGATTCACCAGTCTTATAAAGAATTCTTATTAGAAAGCAAAAAAAAAACTTTTGTGTTTTTATTTACTAAAAGATTTATTAAATCAAATTTTCTTTGAGTATAATATCGATATTGTCTGTCAGATACGAATGTTACTTTTAAATCTACATCATCAAATGTAATTTCACTTTCATTTTGATAATCTGGATAATATAACCAACATTTAGTCTAAAAGAAAAATGTAAAGAAAAAAAAAGATTTTCAAGATCCATGTTTGAAAAAAATCGAAAATATGAACAATATATATTGTTCGAGATTTTTAAAGACAGTAAAGATTTACTAATATTTGATTTGCTTCAAGATGTGTGATATCAACTACTCGCAATCTCGGTTCTATCGGAAGATATTTCCTACTAAATGGATCGTAATGTAACAACAAAGTGGCTCAAACCTATAGACAATATTCTAGAATAAGTTTGAAAAACAATGTAGAGAAATGATTTGCTGATTCTTCCACTAGAGCTGGATCTATTTTCGACTGAAAAAGACTATTTTCGCTCATCTCTATATCGGACAAAATCAACTCAAATCTGAAATCCAATTTAATTGAGTTCAGATAAAAAAATTACTTTTTTTTTGCTTTTAATTGACATGATATATCCGAAAAATTTGCTCGCTAACAATCAAAATTCCCATTGCAATTGATGATTTTCTTCTTAGTTATTTTGGTAAGAGTTTTAATCAGAGATGTCTCGAGATTTCCAGGATTGGCAGAGTAATTGATGACTCATGAAGTCGATCAGAAGATTTTTTCTAAATTTAACTGGATTTTGAGGAAGTTGAACATTTTTCCGGAAATTAGTAAGCAACAAAAAATAATAATAAAAAAGCTGAAGAAAGACAAAAATTTTTCCAGAATGGAAGTCACCGCCTTTTCCTCCTCGACTCGGGATACTTCTGGCTTTAATAAACTTTTATTTAAAAAAATTTAAAAAAATATGTGCTGTACTGTAATACTACTATCTCGAATTGTGGTTTCATTTGTTCCTAAACTCTGTCTTTTCTAAGGCCAAAAAATCCAAACATAAAATCAAATATTCTATTCATGTGATATATTATTTATGAGTAGTTTGTTTCAATAATTCTCCAGATGGTATAATACTTACACATCCTTTTTCTATTAAACGAGTTAACATAACAATAACACGACTATTTTGTTCCCAAATCATTTGCCAAAAATGACTTGATGTTGTTTGAAGTGGCCCCTAATTTTTCAAAAAAAGAACAAAATATATGAAAATCTACAAAGTCAATCAATTAAAAATTTACTTGTGTAAGAATATATTTTCGATTAGCAGCAGGTACTTCAATATAACTTGCATTGATATAATCATTTGAACCTCGTGTTAAACAAACACGTGTATCATCATCTAATTAAATAAGAGATAATTACTAGTTTGTTTTTTTTTCTTTAAATAAAATCTTTACAAGGTAAAACATCACGAAATCGATTTAATTCACGATTAATATTTAATAATGCAATATCGCTTTTTTTATTAGATGTTCTGACTAGATGATCATTTGCAAGTTTCTATAAGAATAAATTAAAAATTTATCAAATAAAAATATATATAAATAAAACTAACATGATATATTGCATTCCAAGCACGTTCTTTTTCAATTTTCAAAAATTCTTCTTCAATATGTGACATTTTTTAATCTAGAATTTAAAATTCTTTGTTGGTTTTTTTGTTGAAATTCACTAAAGAATGGACGGATTCAAAGA